AAAAAAAATTAAAAGAACCTAAAAAAAGAATAAATATATATATATATATAAAAAAAAAAACTATAGGCCTACATTTCTCCACAAAAATGAATGTAATAGCAAACGTAGCACATTTCTTTTAATTTATCCTCTTATTTTAATTTTTGGGTTTGTTTAAAACGAATGATTAATTATTTTTGTCTTGTCCTCATTAGCTCAGAAAGCCTCATACTGTTCGTCGACAACAGATTATTCAATGCCCCTAATTTGGTGTACCAAACAATCATTAAGCAAAGAAGAATTACATATCTACCCGTAGGCAAAGTGTGAAGAATATTATAACTGACTTCAGTCTATAGCCAGAGTTTAAGCACTCAAAATTCCTGTAATAATCAATGAAGCTGTCCATACACTGTATGATGAATGAATCTCTTACTTACGCAGCCTAATTCATACACTGGGATGGCTATGGTACTAATACATACAGCACTTTTTGTGATGAGAGAATTTGCGAGTTTCAGTCAGAATTCATTTAGCACGCGCGCGTCCTGAACAAAGCTCCGAGATTTCAGCGATAGCTAATCTGAACGCCACTGACTGAGCATGGCCATTGTGTTCACAACAGAATCGCCTGATCTGTTATAACGGGCAACGCTGTAAAACGCGTAAAAAGAAATATGACATGAGCAGTACAAGTATTGTAGTTTTTTTTTTTTTTTGAAAAGCCAGGGGACCCCCCCGAGTTCATTTTTTTGGGCTTAATGTGACGTCCAGGGCCCCATTTCTATGTGACACTTAAAATTAGCTACTATTGTTAACTGCATGTAGTAACATCTATTGTTATTAGTTTTATTCATTCAAGTATTTACTCCAATTTAAGGCTAGTTCACGGAGGAATGTAGACCGGACAGACTGGATTTGTCCACGGCCGAATGAGACTAGCGGAAAGCGGACAATAAATTACCTGAGTAAAAACACCGAAGTCCCTTTTTCCGTGAGCCAAAGCCGAACACACGTTTGGTTTTGGCTCAAGTATAATTAATTTTCCCCATTCCGGGTTCCGATGCTGATATAGCCGGTTCTTCATTTTCCTCGTTCCTCTCCCGAGTAAGTATAAGTATCCTGAGTAAGTATCCTGAGCTTTATTCTCTGACTCACCCAGAAGCCAAAAGCCTCGACAGTGATCTCAAACTCAGAAGAGAGAAGAAACAATCGTGAGTTCTTGCACCATACAAATTAAATTTAAAAATGTATGTAGTAAAAATGGCATATACAGTACGCTTTTAGTATGCCATTTTTAACCGAAACATGCAATTTTAGCTTTGCAGTGTGGATAATTGTAAAGAACTTTTCTCCTTTTGTTTGCAGACCATGGTTCTTACAAAAATGATTGTAGGGATCCTCTTCAGTCTCTCACTGAATTTATGGCTCTGTGAGGCTGCAAGTGTGATAATTTGTAAGTAATAAGTGTAATAATTTGTTTGGATTGAAATGAATTTATTTTAAAACGTTGAAAATCAAATTTTTATCACAATATACAGGTGCATCTCAAAAAAATTTGAATATCGTGAAAAAGTTCATTTTTTGTAACATTTCAAAAAGTGAAACTTTCATATATTCTAGATTCATTACATCTAAAGTAAAACATTTCAAACGTTTTTTTGTTTTAATTTTGATGATTAGAGCTTACACTGTAAAAACAAATCCGTAAAATTGACGGTAAAAAAACGGCAGCTGTGGTTGCCAGAATTTTACAGTAAAAAATACGGTAGCAACGTTTTAGGTTTTACAAACTTTCATATATTCTAGATTCATTACATGTAAAGTAAAACATTTCAAGTTTTTTTGTTTTGTTTTCATTTTGATGATTAGAGCTTACAGCTCATGAAAGTCAAAAATCCAGTATCTCAAAATATTAGAATATTTCTTAAGATCAATCAAAAAAAGGATTTGCAAAACAGACAAGTTCAAGTTATTTAAAGTATATTAATTTACGCACTCAATACTTGGTCGGGGCTCCTTTAGCACAAACTCCAGCATCAGTGAGGTGTGGCATGGAAGCGATCAGCCTGCAGCACTGCTGAGGCACTATTGAGCCTTCAGCTCGTCTGTATTGTTGTATCAATTGTTTTTCATCTTTGTCTTGAAAATATCCCATAGATTATGGGGTTCAGGTCAGGCATGTTGGCTGGCCAATCAAGCACAGTAATATCATAGTCAGCAAACCACTTGGAAGTGGTTTTGGCACTGTGGGCAGGTGCTAAAGTCCTGCTGGAAAAGGACATCCGCATCTGCATAAAGCTTGTCAGCAGATGGAAGCATAAAGTGCTCCCAAATCTCCTGGTAGACGGCTGCATTGACTTTGGACTTGATAAAACACAATGGACCAACACCAGCAGACGTCACAGCACCCCAAATCATCACTGACTTCGGAAACTTCACACTGGACTTCAAGCAGCTTGGATTCTGTGCCTCTCCAGTCTTCCTCCAGACTCCAGACCTTGATTTCCAAATGAAATGCAGAATTAACTTTTATCTGAAAAGAGGACTTTGGACCACTGAGCAACAGTCCAGTTCTTTTTCTCCTTAGCCCAAATAAGATGCTGCTGACGTTGTTTCTGTTTCAGAAGCTTGGTAGCCCTTTTCCTGAAGACGTCTGAGTGCGGTGACTCTTGATGCTCTGACTCCAGCTTCAGTCCACTCCTTGTGAAGCTCTCCCAAGTGTTTGAATTGGCTTTTCTTGACAGTATTCTCAAGCTTGCGATAATCCCTGTTGCTTGTGCACCTTTTCCTACCCAATTTCTTCCAGTCAGTCAACTTTGAATTTAATATGCTTTGATTTAGGGATGGTCATTTAATGAAACTCAAATGTAAATATTCTAATATTCTGAGATACTGGATTTTTGACTTTCTAATTATCAAAATAAAAAAATAAATTAAAAAAACCTTTTGAAATGTTTTACTTTACATGTAATGAATCTAGAATATATGAAAGTTTCACTTTTTGAAATAAGTTACAAAAAAGAGAACTTTTTCACGATATTTTTTAAAGATGCACCTGCATTCCACTAAGTCTTAATGTCTCACATTGTAGTGGATCAACAAGAAGTACCATATATCAAAACCGGTGATATCAAGGCCAATCTTGAGGATGCAATACTTCAGGGCAGAATTAAATATGCTGCTCGAAGCTGCAAGGAACTGCATGAAAAGTATCAGGTTTATGATGGTACCTCATTTTATGTTAATATTTTATCTTAAGCAACAGCTGTGTTTAAGTGACTCAGGAATGCTTCTGTTCATGCAGATGGGCTATACTATCTGAACTCATCAAGAGGAGTCCTTTATCAGACGTTCTGTGATATGACCACTGCGGGTGGTGGCTGGACGCTGGTGGCCAGTGTTCATGAAAACTACATGAATGGAAAGTGTACTGTTGGTGATCGCTGGTCTAGTCAGCAGGGCAGTGACCCAAACCGGCCTGATGGTGACGGGACATGGGCAAACACAGTCACATTCGGAACTGCAGAAGCCTCTACAAGTGATGACTATAAGGTATTTTTAGTACATTTATGGTTTTACAACCTTAGTTAAATAGGAGCAACATAAGGGACACAAAGACGCTAGACAGACAATCAAAAGATGTTTATGAGGAATTTGAAATGACAGTTTATTTCCTTTATGTCACAGAATCCTGGATACTATGACATTGCAGCAAAAGATGTGTCTGTGTGGCACGTTCCTAATAATATTAATTTGGAACAGTGGTCTGCTACCTCCCTCCTGCGATACCACACTGAAAATCACTTCTTAATCCTCTACGGAGGAAACCTTTTCAATCTATTCAAGGTCAGATAAACTTTGACACCAGTTTTGAGTTTGAAACATTCATAAAAATATAGTTGAAGACAACTATTTTGTGAAATTACTAAAACAATGAATTTTTCATTCACTGAATGACTATTAATTTTCCCAGAAAATTCCTGTGAAGTTTGGAATAGGGGCATGCATCACTGATAATGGACCTGCTATTCCAATAGTGTATGACACTGGAAACGTGGATTTCAACAAAAATCTGTATGGTCCCCATTCAAGAAGTATGGCAATACCTCCAGAGCCAGTATTTTTCAAATATTTTTAAAAAAAGTGGCTGCATCAATAGACCTTATAGTCAGGGTAGAACCATATTTAATTTTTGACAGGAACAAAAACGAGTCTGTAAAGGATAGAAGTACAATGCATTCAATGCATTGCACTGTTGTTTAACAACATTCCCCGGTTCAGCTGACAAAACTTCTTTCCAGAAAAAAAACGTTTGGTAGACAAAAACTTCTACTTTTGAAAGTTGTGAATTGTGAAAATTATGTGATCCAGGAGCATTGTAAAGAATTTAAATGCTTCCCTCACAGCCTCATTTTCATTAGTGTTAAATTCAATATGCTGTCTAATTTGACTAAGGTCTATTAACAGACAGAAAATCTGTTTTATTCAGTGATGGTGTACAATTTAGCCATGTCATGTGTGCATGAACCTACCATGATCATCATCAGTGACATATTCTGTGCATTTTCCAGCAATGTTTGAGCCTGGATTCATCACATTCAGAGTCTTTAATACTGAAAGGGCAGCTTTGGCTCTTTGTTCAGGTGTCAAACCAACCGGCTGTAACACCGAACATGTGAGTTAAAAGAATATTCTGGATTATTTAAATCAGTGTCTATGGACAGCATTTGTGACATGCTGTTAATCACCACATAATGCATTGATAGTAATACATGAACAATGGTAAAAAATCAAGTGCATAGGTGTGTTTTGTTGTTAGTAATGCACTCATATTGTTGCAGTTCTGTATTGGTGGGGGTGGACACTTTCCTGAGGGCGCCCCTAGACAGTGTGGAGACTTTGCGAGCTTCGACTGGGATGGCTATGGTACTAATGCAGGATGGAGTGCTTCCAGAGAGATAACTGAAGCAGCTGTGTTGCTGTTTTATCGCTGACACCTTGATCAGTCTAAAATCGCCAGCTTCCTTCCCTTCTTTCCAAGATATTCTACACTGATTAATACTTAAATGTAACATGCACAGTTATTTGCACAAATGTATTTCTTTACAATATATATATCCTTTATATTGGTCTGTTATCTACGAATGCATTTGTGATAGGTGATTTGAACTAAAAGAACAACCGATCAGATTATCCTAGAGCTTCTGCTAGTTAATATCTAACACCTCTTCTAAATGTTCATGGGTTTCTTTTATACAACTGTTCAAAAGTTATATACATTAAACAAATGTATAATGTTCAAATAAAACCAGTGGGTTGTCAATACTGTTCAGACATCAGAGTCAAAATTTATGTTTAACTTTTAGTCTGTATTTCCCATCATCCTCCCGGACACTCATCAGACCTCGTCACTAGCTCTATAAGTAGAACACACACTTAGCCACTGTCTTGCTTTGGTAGATACTACAGACCACTTACTGTAACTGTTTGATGATCCTGTTTAAGGTGATTGCTAATCCAGTTACCTCATTCAAGTCGATTTCCAGTCTACTTGATCATCTCAACACCTACTAGTCCTCCAAGCTGTTATCCAGTTATTCTCTGTCTTAGCGTGTTTCCCTTGTGTGTGTGCTCTTCATGATCTGTAAGGCTGTAAGCAAAAGACTTAAGTTATCAATAACATCTGTTCTCACCATCTATGATCTCAAGAATAATCAATTACCCGATTAACGATCATTCCTGCAAAACTGCTAATAAATACCAGGTCTTGAGTTTTACTTGGTTTCATAATCATATCAAGAACATGACTCCCTGGCTACATCTGAAAAGTAGATGTTATTAGAACTGTAAATGCTCAACATGTTTGATGTGAATACTTACATTTACATTTAGTCATTTAGCAGACACTTTTATCCAAAGCGACTTACAAATGAGGACAATAGAACTAATCAAAACTAACAAAAGAGCAACAAGATGTAAGTGCAAATGACAAGTCTCGGTTAGCCTAACGCAGTACACGTAGCAAGGTATTGTATATATATATATAGTAGATAGAATAGAAAAAAATAGAAAGCTAGTGCTTTTTTTTTAATAAAAGAGAAGATAAATAGATAAAGTACAATTAAAATAGAATACAAAGTGCTGGAGTTAGAGGGTCAAATAAAGATGGAACAGATGTGTTTTTAGTCATTTTTTGAAGATGGCTAAGGACTTAGCTGCTCGGATTGGGCAGGTCATTCCACCAGGAGGGAATACTTGAGTAATATTCTCACTGTTTGAAATAAATGAACCATCCTCAGTCTGGTTGACATACTGTAAGCATCCCCTTTCTCAAAGGCTACTTGTTGATGTGTGAAGCATATCTGAGGATGTGCTGCCCATGGAAGCTAAACTATAGGGCTGACATCTCACATTGTAATGCCACAATTTTCATGAAAGCATGCATTTGGACTCTGTGTTACAAAGATAACCTGCATTGTATCACTATAAGATAAAAGATAAAAATAGTCAAGCTAGTAGATCCCCACCTCTGTTGTTATTTGAGACTGAAGAATAAGCATATGGAAAACATAAAATGTTGAATTACGCGTAATTAGGTGTATCAGAGGAGGATAGTTCATAAAAAATGAATATATATGTGTGCATGTGCATGTGTGTGTGTGTGTGTGTGTGTGTGTGTGTGTGTGTGTGTGTATGAATAAAATATTTTTTTTTGGAACGACAGGAATGACTGTAGTGACCTCTAGTGGTGAAGGAGTTCTCAAATAATTTGTTCTGACAAATCGTACACCCACATCACATTTTAAAAACCACAAGTACTTAGAAGTGTTTTATTAATATCAACAACAATTTAAAAAGCTGGAGGAGTACATTCTTCTCGATATAGATTATTAAAGGATCCCATGTTTTGTACAACGTTCTGGTTGATCCTCTTAGAAAATATTTCATTTTTTCAGTTTTTAGAAAAAGCATTACATCACTAAGCCATAGTGACAATTTAGGTGGCATTGGTGATTTCCACTCTAGAAGAATTCTTCTTCTAGCTATTAATGTTGCAAATGCCATGGCATTTTCTTTATCTTTAGTTATGTGAATGTCGTCACCTGTAACTCCAAACTTATTGGGTTAGGCTGCATTCTTAAATTAAATGCTGAGTTTAAAATTTCAAATACTGAAGACCAAAATTATCTCAGTTTAGTACATGACCAGAACATATGGGTTAGATCCGCCTTAAATGCACTGCAACGATCACATGTTTCATCTATATTTGGGTATAGTTTAGCCAGTTTGGTTTTACTATAGTGAATACGGTACAGAACTTTCATCTGAATCAGATTGAGTCGTGCACAAGATGAAGTCCTATTTATTCTGTCAACAGCTTTGTCCCAAGTGACTTTGGATATGTCAGTTATAATACTGCATTTTTAACTAATTGGACATGTGCAGCAGAAGATTACAGATGTTTAGTCATCTCCCCCACAGAGGTTCAGTAGAGCTCTCTGGTAGTCACCCTTGGTGTGCTCCTGAGGAGAAAAAGTAAACGAGAAAAGTTCTGCTTAAAATGCTTCTTGAATGAAGGCAAACTAAGAGCAGAAAGCAAAGAAGAGAGAGGTAAATAACAGAGCAAATAAGAAAGAAAAGAGACAAATGGAAACTTACTAAAATTGTCTGGTACAGAGATTTTCCAAAATTCCTCTTAAACTCTGCACGGACCTTCATGAGATCAACTTCACAGCGGGAGACGATGATGCGGGTTATGACTTTCTCTTTAACACTTTTACTCTGCAAACATCAAAATCAAAATGTTCGGTATAGACACAATTTTTCCATAGAAGAAACTGATCAACACAACTCAAAATCAGCCAAGGTCACCTCTTTACACGTCAAATGACACGCAGTCAAAATTGGATATTCACCTTCATAGCATCACCGAGTCTGCTGGCAAAATACAGATGCTTGTTCTCCAAGCACTCAACTGTAGAAAGACAGATTAATTTTAGGACATGGTTACATGTTCTGTTTTTTCAGACTTTAATATCTTCAGTTCTCCTCTGGCTTCTTGCCGCATGCATTTCCACAGGGCTTTCCACGAAATGTTCCTCACCAAACAGCTTGTGATTATGTTAAAAAGAAATGAAGAAGGGATTCCCAAGGAAAGCGCGAGAGTGTGAAAGAGTAATTGAGCAGACAGGCATAACCATCATCAAATCTGCCATACATCTCTATATCCAAGTGTTCTGACAGCTTATGTGAAGAACGGACAGCTGATAGATACCTAGTGTGAGGAATGATTTTTCCAGATCTCCCTTCACCTCCTTTCGAATGCTCTCCTTAATGTCATATGGGCTGTATCTCTTGTACCTTTCAAACACTGAGAAAAAGAGGTGTTGGTTACGTTGTTGCACAAATAATAATGGCAATTGACTTCAAATACACCTCTGTTCAGGTGTCACCTTTCTGCAAGTGTGGGACACTCCTCTCAGAGAAGATTGAAATCCAGGTGGTCACATCAGTTCCTTTTCTCTTCACTCCAGCTTCATAAAGAGCCTAAATATTTTTATAATTGACAAAAGCAACTTTTTGTTGTTCCAGCATTTGAATGCACAATGGTTTCATATACTATTATTTTAATCATGCTGAATAAATATACTGTCACAATGACTGTGAATCAATTGAATTTCCTCAGTTAAAAGGGCTGTACTCACTCTTGCATCATTGTCGATCTTCTCATAGTCCACCACGTTACTCGGCTCATCTCTTTTGGCCTGTGAACATGAATGAATAAAGTGTGAGTACAGCAATGCAGAATCTGCAGTTTGCAAATTATATTGGCGGTAAAGGAATTACCTGTTGCATATTGTGCAACAAAGCGGAATCTGATCATAATTACCACAAATAACTGTTATAGTAATCTATTAAGTTACCTGTACAAGGGCCAGGAGCAGCTTAGCGAAATCACCAGATGTGTCTCCAGAAACATCTTTCTCCAATTCCTTCTTAAACACTGCAAGAAGAAAAAGAAAGGGACATGAATACTAATATATGTGTGCGTTTTATGCTTTTTAAGGGCCAGCATCACTCACTCTCTCTGTAAACCTTCTTGATTTCCTTGAGCTCTTCATTATTGCGAGAGCAGACCATTTCATTAAGACTCTCCTCATCAGTGCCCAGACCCTGCAAAAAACAATAAACTGTCACATGAATACAGTGATATATGAATCTGTCCAAAAGTCTGGGGTCAGTAAGACTTTGTTTTTGTGTTGTTTTGAAAGAAATTAATGCTTTTATTCAGCAAGGATTAATTCAATTGATTTTCATTTCAAATAAAAGCTGAACTTTTGAACTTTCTATTCATCAAAAATAAAAATAATAATGTATCCACGGCTTCCACAAAAATATTAAGCAGCACAACTGTTTTCTACTGTGATAATGAAAGAATTGGAAGACTTGAGTAATGAGTAAAAGAAAACAGTTATTTTAAATTGTAATAATATTTCATAATATTACAATTTCCACTGTATTTGAGTTCAAATAAATGCAGCATTGGTGAGCATAAGAGACCAAACTTTTGATCAGTAGTGTAGGTTATTTTATTCATGCTATTCATGCGTTATTCAGAAATTATTATTAAATATGGAGTATGAGTTTAATTTTGATACTTCAACAGAAAGGAGCAGTAAACAAGCAGTGTCCATAAACAATGACAGATCTATGTAAACATACCTTCATTGATGATTTCAGTTCAGAGGCATCATATTGTGCTGTACTCTTCATCAACCCCAGAATCAGATGCTCCAAAGAGCCTGAGAGCGCCCCCTTCAGGGCACTTACCAAATCCTACAACACAAACAGCGTCAGGTTGTTTGGAACTTTGATACACAAGATATTTATTATAAATATCAGTGTACTTCATAAAGGTAAGATAATCCATTTTTTAATAGATAGTCCACAATTTTTGTATTAAATAATTATGGTGTGTACCTTCTTTGCCCGTTTTTCATACTCAAACGCAATTTCGCTCCTTTGTGAGCAACTGCGTTTTGTCATAATGTCAATGATCGTCTGCTCATCAACACCTGAATGAATAAATGAAGGCAAGAATGAGAGGAGAAGATAGGGATTGTGAAAGAAAGCCACAGAGCATTATTAAGATAAGGCCCTAAAGGACTAATTGCACCTTTTTATTTCCTAGTATAAAATCACTAAAGGGGTCATATGGTGCGATTTCAAGTTTTCCTTTCTCTTTGGAGTGTTACAAGCTGATTGTGCATAGATAAGATCCCTGAAGTTGCAAAGACTAAAGTCTCAAAACCAAAGAGATATTCTTTATCAAAGTTAAGACTCTGCCACACCCCCCTAAAACGGCTCGTTCTAACACGCCCCACATATCTACCTCACTATGTGGAAATATTTGCGTAATGCCGCCCAAATGTTCACGCAAAGAAAGAAGGCGTGGTTTCAGTAACTGCAGTTAGTGTTGAAGCAGCCATGTCAGGGAGACGCTGTGTGTTTCTAGGCGAAAGCAAAAGCACTTTATTTGGCCTTCCGAAAGTAGATGCATTTAGGAATCTTTAAGATTACTTACAACAGAACAGCAATGCATTTTGTGGACAACCGTTTCGTGAACCTAGGAGAGGAGATAATTCTGACTTTGTTATGACAATCTGGCGCTTCTGAATCAGCTACTGTTTTGTTATTAGTTTAAGTATTTGCTATTGACTGTTCAAATGCGGTGTTTTGCGCATCGTGTGTATGAGCGAGAGAGCGAGCGAGAGAGAGCGCGAGAGAGAGAGAGAGAGCGCAAGAGAGAGAGAGAGAGAGAGAGTCAGCTAATATGAGACACTGACACTACTGGCATACAAATGTGCAATCAAACTCATTCACACACTTAGCCTTGATATTCATTAGCAGTGTGAGGAAAAAAACAGCATATGCTGGTTAGGTAGGTTTTGAAGCTTGGATACTGGTTTGAGCCGGTTTAAGCTGGTCCTTAGCTGGTCTTAAACTGGTCGGACCATTTTAGGACCAGCACATGACCAGCTAAGGACCAGCTTAAACCAGCTCAAACCAGCATCCAAGCTTCAAAACCTACCTTACCAGCATATGCTGTTTTTTCAACAGGGTGTGCTTATATCTTACCAGGCAATTTAACACAAACCCATTTTATTTAGCCTCTATTGAATTAAAATCATACATATATTTCAAGATTCTACCCAAATACTTACAAGACACTGACTCATATTTGGCAGTTACCACTAATTATTTACAATTCGATTTCAACAGAGAAGGGCTCACCATCCATTCTACCTTGATTAAGAGTCTTAAAGCACCACTCATCCTGTTTAAGGTAGTTAAGCTGAAAGTTTGTCTGCTAAGCAAATATAAAGGCACTGAAACAAATATATCAGTGAAACAATTATGAAATGCCACTGGGGACTCTTTTTGTGTTCCACTAGAAATATAATCTGTCGTGCAAAATCAAATCTACAGATTCCAGTGCAAATGTTAAGTGTTTATGGCACCATCCTTTACCTTTGGTTTTGATGGCTGTCTCTATTTTGGCCGCATCCTGCTCTGGGTTAAAATCATAAGCTGGGACCACTGTAGGGCATTTAGGTTCTCTCTCCTGAAAATATCAAGAAAATGTAGATATAGAAATATAATACATAATAATATATAAAATATTATGGATAGAATAAAAAAAAATACAAACAATCAATCTTAATAGCCACTTCAATGTACAAAGAAGTGTATTTTGTTTGTTGAATTTGTGATAATACTACACTTTGTAACATTTCATGTTACAACTGTAATAACTTACCCCTCCATAACTCAATGTAAGTTTCGTCAAAATCTCAGACACTAAAGCCATTTTCCTGCAGAGGACAGAGAACACGTAATCATCCAAGTTGAACAATGAGTAGATGAAACAGGAGATACAATCTGTGCTTTAAGCCACTGTAAAATACAACCTCACCCTTCCTTTCAAAGGTCTAAGTGATTGTTGTCATAGATACAGTGATTAGTACTGTGTATAAAGGCCCAGTTCAGTGTCATCACAAGCAATAATGCAAGTCAATAGCCATTTTACTGCCCTTAAATGTGTCACAGAGAAAGTTATTTCTCATGGTATTAAAAAAAGACTGAAAAACAGCTTTTTGTTGTGCTGTTGTCAACTCTACAGCGGTTAAACTTCCCCTACAGTGCTAACAGGAAATCATTTTCTCTCTGCACTATACATTACGAGGTGAGCTGTGAAGGGTTTGCTGGAACTTTGTTCAGGCACACCCAGACACACACCCTGTACACATTCCACAGACCACTCAATCTCTGACCATCACACACACACAGACACACACACGCACACAGCAAGACCAATACAGCTCTTTCTGCAGATTAAACAGGACTAGAAAACGGAAGCAGTACAATCCACAATAAAAATATGACAATGCTAGTCTTTCTTGTCCTGTCAAGAGATGCAGTTCATGTTTCTCAGTCTAATAAATGGCGAATCACCAGAGGACCAGAGTCTTACCTGAGATGCTGTGGAGAGTGAAGGTGTAGCGGTGGAGTTCCAGTTGTATCTCTGTGTATGGGATTACCTTTTAAATGCAGTCAGCCAATGACTCACCGTCTCCTCCTATCAACCCACACCTACACCCACTCAAGATGACGACCCAAAAGTTTCTTATTAGTTATTAATTTACTGGGCTACACATTCCTTACAAAAATTTACTGTAGTACTCACAGTTTGTGCTAAAATGTCATCTCCAGTTACGGTTACCACTGTGAAACTGCACATTTTCAGAGGGAACATGTATTAATGACAACTGCCATCATAAATAGCTTTTTTAGTTTCATAAAAAAAATCACAAAGATTTTTTCATCTTGCATTGTTTGAAATTCCATATTAATTTGATGTGAATTCATCATATTTCATAAACTGGGGAGAAATTTCTCAAATTGTCCGCATGTAAATCTCTTCAGGTAAATTGAGTCATTCATTTAAAGTTTCATAAAAAAAATCACAAAGATTTTTTCATCTTGCATTGTTTGAAATTCCATATTAATTGATGTGAATTCATCATATTTCATAAACTGGGGAGAAATTTCTCAAATTGTCCGCATGTAAATCTCTTCAGGTAAATTGAGTCATTCATTTAAAAATATGTGCATATAGTCTGTATTATTATTAATGACTTAAGGATTTGGCAACTGTGATTTCACAAATTTGATACATACATCCATACATATAGTTTTCCTCATCTCTGACATCACGGTTGCAGGCCTGTGCATGAATTTCAGTTATTCAGCATGTATGTATGTACAATATGTGTTTAAATTACATGGAAAAACTGTCAGTTTGGAAGCAAATTACTTTATGTTGAATGTTGTTCCTGACAGAGAGGATATGAATTAAGACACGTGTATATGTGGTGTGTAAACTAAAAGCAGCATAGCAAGAAAAGAAAAAAATCTATATTTTTAAACCTAAACTATAACCGGGAATAAAAAAGAACATGCATCCTGAAACTAAAGTAGGTTTCTAAAATATATAATTTGATTAACATTACCTGTTGGTAATGTTCCATGAGTTAAATAGTCCACTAATCCCATTCCTCAATGTTTAATACATTCTGCAAACATATTCACTGAGTAACTACATGACAATAACAGTAATGACAATGCACCATGCAGTTTAATTGATCATAAAATCATTTAGAATGAAAAAACTCAATTCAGATTCATACCATTATTGAGAATTAAGAAGTAAACACATTTGGCTTGCTATTAAAAATGTAGGGGATAAAACCACCATCAAGTCTTTCTCTGATGTAATTATTACAGATTAATTGTCAAAAGAGTGAGTTAAACAGCTATTTATACATCTTTAGCAGGCTCAACATGTTCGTTTGGATCTATAGTATTAAACTGCTTCACACATGGTATATGTGCAGTATTGGGAGAACCAGAGTGGTTTAGAGATTCAAAGGAAGTATGTTTGCTAAAGGCGGAGAAGTATTCCTCTATCAAAGTTTCTGCCAATGTCTGACTGTGCTCTCAGTCATAGCAGCAGTTTTATAGCGAGAGTAGACAGTACACTGACATCTACAAACACACACTGGTTTCCATGTTTTATTGGGACATTCCATAAGTGTAATGGTTTTTATACTGTATGCTCTGTCCCCTAAACCTACCCCTCATAACAAAACTTTCTGCATTTTTAGATTATCAGAAAACTTCATTCTGTATGATGTATAAGCTGTTTTCCTCATGGGGAGCAAAAAATGTCCCCACAAGGTCAAAATTTACTGGTATTACTATCGTTGTGGGGATATTTGGTCCCCATAATGTAGGGAATACCAGATACACACACACACACAGCTCATACTAGTAGACTATAATCTGTTCTGATTTTGTTCTTTGTGCCTTAATTATATGCAAATAAAGCTAAGTGAGAGTGACTCTGTTACAGTAGCTCAGAATACATGTACAGTAAAAGTCCATCTTGCTAGGGGTCATGTGTTTCCTTAGCAATCAGTGTTCTAGACTTGCCTTCATGGCAACGCATGCAACAAGCACTGAGCAATGACATACCATAATGAGGTGATTCATCCCATACACATAAATAAGGGTCAGTCCCTTGATAGCAAATACCATCATTACTCAAAAGTGTTACAACACTTATAGATCGGAAGCAGACCATTTCAGTTGACACAGTTGATTCAGTACAGCTTAAACAGAACTAATTTTATTTATTTTTTCTGTGCATATAAGGCCTGTTTCTAGATGAAAATGTTGTAGTCACTATATACTCACATTTTTTTAAAAGTTCACATACACACTTCAGGAAGTAGGATCATTTGATTTTCTGGATATCATTTAAGTAAAAATTGGCTTGATTTCAGACATTTCCAGAAAAGCTACATGTTCTTCAATAAAAACAACAGTTGTTTATGGGACAAATTAAAACAAGAAATATGTCCGTTTAAATGTTGTACATCTTGTTTTAACCATTTTTTTAGCATTTAAAGTTTTAGAGAAAGGTCGATTGTGTTCATATAACTAATTTAAGGTCATCAAAATTGCTGAAGCTGCCTAGAATTAATGAACTAACTGGTCATAGAACAGACAGCAAGAGAAAAATGACAACTGTAATTTTCATCACAAGCTGTGTTTTTTTTTTTATTGTCATCAGCACGTTCAACACACTATTTGTCAATGTGTGACATGCGTCTTTAATAAAAGTAATTTAGGAGGTTAAACCTCTAAATACAAAATCACAACATTAGATGAAAACTGTATTTCAAAGAAACAATACTTTGCATTTTTGTACAGATGTATATACAAAACAAAGGCAAAATACCTCAAATCGAACAAATAGGAAGAAATAGAATATTTCTACAGATCTACTGGAGAACTAGTTGAAGAGTGCTTGTGGATTAAATCAAAAGGAGACCACTGGTTAATCTGTTAAAAATGAAGGATGGAAAAATATACAGAGGAAAAACCCAAGTCTTCAAAACAAAAGGATGTTTTTCTTCAGTACAAACTGTGATCCACTCAAATGATTAGCATTACTCACAAATTAGCATATTATGGTGTGTGTATCATACAAAACATTTGGTCATTTGTCAGTGAAAATATGACAACCTTAAAAGGGACTGTGTTACTGTGATACTCCTCTAAACATATACATAGAAAGATTAAGTACTCATGCCCCAAAACCAAAGCAAGAGAAAAATACAATACTGCCTTAGTGATGGACATTTAAAGAATAATTGGCAAATTAAAGAAAGAACATTCCAGGCCTCTGGACTAGCACACAGATAACACCACACGTTACACATGTCATAATAATAAACAGCTATAATTCATACTGAACCTGGATTAGATCAGAAATCAATGTGTTTAATTGATGAGAGTGTAAGAAATTAATTTTCTAACCATTGAAGTGCCATAATACTTCTTTAATAGCCAACCAAAAAGTTCGATAGAACCAGCACAAACAGTGGGATTGAGGATCGCTAAAAAGATATTCACAGAGAATACACAGGCCAAAACAAGTCTCTAAAGAAATGGGAAGGGGGTAAAGACATCAGGACAAGGGAGAAGCCAAACCAAGCGAATTTCAAACAAAAACACGTGACAAAGTTCTGCATTTAAAGCATTTGCATGCAATTTCCGTTTTCAAAACATGATTATGCCATTATTATTGCTTTCTGCTCAGTATTATTTTGGATAATTCTTCATCTACACACCTGACCCTGATTCTTGAAGAGGACAATTTCATAATATTTCACTACTTTTTACACATTGTTTTTCAAACGACTGTACTATAACGCCGTCCCCTTGCAGTTACGGACACGGTCACTCTCCTCCTCAACTATAAAACAATAGTTTCCCTGAGCAGTCCCAAAATACCCTTTTATGAGGTCAGATATTTGATGGATTGTCTTTCACGGAACAGATACGAACAAGAATACTACAGGTAAAGCAGTGCCAGCCCTTACAAAAAACATTAAACAGAGATGTCAGATCGGAACATCTTTACTAAGGTTATTGCTTGTCCTTGTTTGTAGGCTGCGTGCTAAATGCATTCAATTTGGTTCAAACGTGCGTGTTGAAGGGGCACAAAAATATTGACACAAAGATCCAACAAGCCTGTGTACACAGCTGCAAAATAAAGGAAGAAAAAAAGAAGTGACCATTTTTATTCTCTCCTCTTCCCTGATGAGCTGCATTACTAGGTGCAAAAAACATCTAGACGTATCTCAAAAAGGGTCAGTTAGGAACAACGCCAACCGCCTCCAATCCCCATGACGTTTAATACGAACTGCTAGATCCCCTGGAATGTCAACACGTGCCCCTGATCTGTCAATCATCGCTGCACTCAGCTCACTTTGACGGAAATCTAATCACAGAATCACTATGGCACAACAGGGAGTCACACTACCGTCTAGACAACGCGAGCTGGCTTTAAAAGACAGAGATTTAACAAAACACAAACAAGTATTTCAGATCTTACCGATCTAAAATAACAGCATGTTCCTTCAGATTTTTTTTTTCACAAATTCAATTGAAATCGTTTATTGCTGGGAAAAACACAAAGTGCTACCTTTCGTTAGGTTCTACACATCATACATTGCATGATTTAACTAACCATATAACAAGAATATATGCACATATTTGAGCTCACTGCCTCAGAACATGCCATTTGATCGTAAAAGTTTCAGTACGATAGTGATTCAGGTCTCATAGTTTGAGTCCCATGTCATGCCTCGTCCACTGTCTTCTCCTGGGGCTGGGGCAGTGGTTTCGCCAAATGATGTCCCTGCTGAATGTGTGTATACTGGAAGAGGTCAGTAAAGGGCAGTGCTGTGACGTTAGCACCAACGTGGGCTGTTCATTGTGGCACCAGAGAAAAAAGACAGGGATTTCAGCTCTAGACGTTCATTTCCTGTCTTCGTCTACCCCAGCCAGACACCTCATTACTGTCTATGGCCAGTAGAGGGCGATGCTGGGGCGGTCAAATGCAGTGGGCGTTTCCGCTGAGATCTCATGCAGTCAGAACAGGAGGCTGA